CTGATACATTTTCATCAATGGTACCGTTTTCATCAATGGTACCGTTATTTAGGTAAAAAATTTCGGCAAAATTTCGTGAAGACATCTCTTCAAATGAAAAAGTTTTCCATAGAAGCACTTGATTTCGATTATCAATTTGTTGGCTATAATCAATAGTGTACCAATATCGGCAGTGCTTATATAATACATAGGCAACTTCTTGTGGAGAAAAGGCCTTGTCTCTACAACTGTTGGACTAGTTCGCATATATGCAGAGAGATTGAAAGGTCATGTCCGCCTAACACGATTAAGTTTGCCCAGCAGGTCATGTATATGTATATCTTTAATATTCTCCGTTGGTTACATCTGGGTATTATAAACTTCGTAGCGCTATTTAGGATACAAAAATTCAACTGTACTGTAAAAACTCAATTCTTTCTCTGATGATTAGGCAAGATATCTAGTATAGAAATTCATATCATTGGAAAAAAACACTTTTTTTATTTTTAAATCCGATTTCATTACTCAGCTGAAATATATTCGAAGGCGAGTTTTGGTTACAAAATGGTTGYATATTGGTTATTTCCKAGAGCGGWAGCTGAACATTTTATACCACATACMTGCATGTGCTGTAATGTAATGAATGGGWAGCAATAAAAAGCTCTGTTTCGATTTTTTTRATGATACGTTATTTTGCATTTTAGGAGGAAAAATAGTTAGGAAAACGCTAGAACGCAAGATGAATTTTAAGCTAAGATTACAGCGTTCTTCCATTTTCGATAAAAAATTTTGTATTTAAATTTTGTAGTCGAAACGGTCGATTAGTAATTGTATCGATAGTTAATTCGCTTCACACAGAACTTTCAAATAMAAATTTTCAAAACCTATAATATCCAAAATGTTTCTATAATAATGCGTCCGCCAATAGGGATGGAGTCACTTTTATGGTTTTTAACAGCCATGTTTTTTTGCGAATTTCTGCCAAATTTTTTTAGTGTGTACAGTAAGGTTTTTTTTACTTCATATAGTCACATTTCACGTTATTTTATACTTGGTGGATTGTCCAGAGCTTTTACGCAAATTCACGGTTACTAATGATTTTTCACTTTATCGCAAATAATCTTCTCATATGAGTTCCATGGCTGACTTAACATCTTCGTCAACAAAGAAGATTATCGCTATTGGGGTTAGTCAAGCCCTCGTGTGATTCAGAACACGTAACTGCATCGCCAAAAATTTACCTTTTGGTGTAGGTCGGGATATAGCGTCGTCAGGAGACCACATTGATCGACTTTTTTTCTACCGGAATTTGATGAAATCAACGTGGAAAATCTCTATTTCCAACACGACGGCGCGTGGTTGTTGTTTTACGTCTAAATATTYGGKGACTCGTTAATTTCGAGAAATGATCCAGTCAAATGACCGCCAAAATTATGCGATTTGTTATTTTTTGGGAATATGTTAAATCAACCAGAAAAGTTCGTGGAGCTCGAAAACAAAATTTTTCGCACTATAGCTGACATTTTAGGCGAAATGCTACACCTGGTCACTAAAAGTTGGCGTAAAGGATTCGCCTTCCAGAGTATTCTTGCAACTTTAAAATAAACTTTTTATGGTATGGTTGGTCAGAAGGTAGAAAAATTTCAGCGATGTCRAGTCGAGAGAATGCAGTGCAGACAAAAGTATTATGAAACCCTACTCACACAATTTTATCACCATTTTATTTGATTTATAAGGTCGATTGTTAGTTCGTTTGGCACTGAACTTCCAAAACGACATTTTCAAGAAAGAATATATCCAAAAGATATATTATATAAACCTCATTTCAAAGGCTGGACAAAAGAACATTATTTGGCATTTATTTTGTGAAGATTATCTCTTTCAAATGTTGGCCGAGGCGACGTCCAAGATAACCCATCCGTTGAGTCCAATTTTCGAAGACTCGTTCCAGAATTTTGACTGCTAAAAAGTCTAACAGTGTGCTATCAAGGCGCGTTAACGGTCCTCATTGACGGTTACGTTCTTACCGGCATCGTTTTTGAACCAATGGGGACTGATGATTACACCGGCCAACAAACCACATCATATCGATGGGTTTTCTGGATGGAATAGTCGCTCTTGAATCTTCTCAAGTTGATCTTCGCCACACATTTAGCAATTTTGCTTACTTGTATACACATTGAGCCAAAAATGGGCCTCATCGCTGAAGAAAAAATTGGCTCGAAAATGTGGGATCATCTTGAAGATTTTCAGGAGCCCATAGCGCGAAACGATGTTGCTTGGGAAGGTCGATCAGGTTCAATTCTTGCACAAATTTTAATGCGTGATCTGTCAAAAAGTTACTATTGAAAAAAGTGCGTCTACTAGGAACAGTAGTAATTAGTAGAAATATATACTATATATATTGAGGTTAGAGCTAATTTTTCTCCTAAAATATGGAAAAAATTATCAGCATTTACCTGGAAGAAATCTACCGAAGGTTTAGCAACTAMATCCATATTGGTTAAGATTAGGTAAAATATAGCAAAATAGGCTGTTTCTGTAAGCATAAAAATATTGAGGTTATGGTAAGGGTTAGGTATCAATTAAGCGTAAATGAAAGCTATAAAATGTTGTATTTATTTATTTATTTTATTCAGCATAATTATTTATTTACTTTGGTTTAATTTTGTTTGCTTATAATACATAGTTAATTAAATATCATTTAATTTTACTCTTTACAAATACAATTAACAGCCTTATTATTAGCGTTCGTACATATTTTCATTATTTACTTCAATTTCGTTTTTCGTTCTTTGCTCTTTGCTAGTTTCTCATCAAAAAGGTGGAGGGTTATTGGGGGAGCGCTCTTTAGATTACAAATTACATAATTATAGGTGAGTACGATAATATTTTTGTTTTTGTTTGCAGTAAGGTCTTCATAAATTTCTAGTTTGCGTGCGTTGTCGCTTCGTTTTTCCTCCTTACATTGTTTTTCTTTTTCGCTTGTTATTTTTTTCGCGTTTTCATTTCATTTTTGCTTAACTCTTGTTGTTGCATGATTGATTTGGTGCACGGTGTCATGTACTGCAACTACATATTTGCTACAGGGTTCAGCAGCAGGGTTCGAGTTTTAAGGTCTAACTATTTTCTCATATATATTTATGTATGTACATGCTCGTAAGTGTGAGTGCGGCAGTTGCTGGCAATCATTGATTGTGACGATTTTTATGATTTTTGTATATTTTTTTTTAATTTTTTTTTTTTTTGTTAATTAAGTGCAGTATACTTTTTCTTTTAAGATATGAGAATATTTTTCGTTTTGCTTTTTTCTATGTTATGCTCGTATTTCTTGACTGCTTTTGTTTCCATTCGAGTTTTCATAATTTTTATATATTTTTTTGTTTTTCCTCTAATTACTTTTGTAATGCTTTTTTCGCTTTTTATTTGTGGTGGTTTGTGTGTGTGCCATCTTATTTTTATTTGCAATAAAATATTTGTTTTTAATAAATAAATGCCCTCATTTTGGCAGTTTGCTATAAATATTGTAGGTGTGTTCTTTAACCTATGCCCCTAACTTTTCGTCTTTAATTTGCTTTATAAATATTAGTGTGGTTCAAAAAAGTAAATTTTTTTCGCTTGATACTCTGAAAAATTGGTTTTTATATTCTTTTTGGTAGCCTCTCCTAATTTGAGCACTTAATTGTGCTGAAAAGTTCCTTCACTTTACAGTTTTCTGTTTTTGTTTTTATTATCAAAAAAATTTAAATATCTCCTCCAACTACTT